GTTTATAAACTATGACATTTATAATATGAATCATATGGTGAAAAACTGACTTTGAAAAATAAATCTGTTCTTTTTTTTACTAATAAAAGTCTAAATAAAACAAAAACATCTGTGGTAATTTTGGCTGTGTAACTTTACAAACAGCACTCAGTATAAATGAGTGTCAGCATGTTTTATTTTAAAAATTCATTCTTTCTTTTTAGCTTTACAGCTTTATAAAGGAGATAAAGAATGAGATAAAGTGTGCAGCAATTGGACTAGATGGTTCTTTTTTGCATGTAAGTCGAGGTGTATAACAGGCTTTCTACAGAAGCACATTTCAACAGATCTGAAAGGTCCTTTTTAAAGAGACAAGCTGGACCTGTAGCATAAAACAAGCTTTCATCTTTTCTGCAAACAGGTGAAGAAAAGAAGTGAGAGGAGGCCGGCAGTTTTTGAGAAACAAGAAAAGACCCGGGCGAAATTTATCTCCGAGTTAAAAATGTTTTCATGACAAAAGGTCCTTCAGAGAGCCGGGGGTCCGCACTGAGAGGCCCTGATGTGTGCTCCGGAGCATCTTTGGAGGCAGGAGGAAAATCGATRGCTGAGCTGAGTGATGAGGAAGTGCTGTCCTGCGGCGGCGGCGCTGCCAGCTGCACGCCAAGCGGCGGTCTCCAAATGAACATCCTAAATAATGTGCTGGAAAACAATTTGGCCTCTGAGAGATGAGTCATAATTCAGCCCTCAGAGACCCCCATCACCCCCCCTGCCTGCAGATAACAAGCTCTGATTTGGTCTGGGACAAATTAGTTTCACTTCCAGTTGCACAAATGGTTCTCCCTGCAGTCAGAGGGAAAGTTTCCTGTCTGTCGGACTGGACTCGTCACAAACTTCACCTGCAGACGGTCAGTGCTTCGTGCATTTACTGAGATATAATTTATGGGACACATGTCTCGCTTGTGAAACTGTACCTTTTTATTTATAAAATTTGTACTGATGTGTCCTTTGTGCATGTTTGTTTCCAATGTTAACTAGTTAGCAGCAGGCGGCTATCGCTAGTTAGCGATTGAGGCTAAAAACAACAGCCCCAGTTTTACATTTATCGTAATTAGGAATTAATTATGACCGTCTTCAAGGCTAATCGTTGGTTTTCTGTTAAGAATCATATATATA